GCTCCCTCCTTAAATCTCCCCTCCACGTGCCTTCGCCTTCCTCTGGAGAATTTCCTTTCCTCTGGTCCATACGTCCTAGAAGAGCTCATCCCAGCATCCTGCCCCACCCAGCCATGGCAGAAGGCCTGCACCCCAGTGATTGGCTCCCGAGGGTGGCATGTGACCCAAACTGGGCCAATCAGGAACTTTCCCTGAGATTCTGTCACACTGAGAGGGAAGAGCTCTCTTCCACCTTTGCTGTTACTGGCTGAGGTGACCGAGGCCCCCCGGGGATGCCTTTAGTCATGCCCAGTCCTTCCCCCAACCAGTGGATGGAGGTGCACGGTGTCTGGAGAACGTGGGGCCACGGCAATGAAAGAAGCAGACAGAGAAACTGAATATTCGGTGAGTTGCTGGATCCAGCTACACCTGAAGCCAGGAGGACTCAGTCTTCCAAGTTTCTCCAGCCAATTAACATTTTTCTTTGTTGATTTTAGTTTGTGTAAGTTTCTTTACTATTTAACCAAAAGAGTCCCAACAGATACAGGGGCCAGCCTGAGTCCCACAGGATTAGGCGCCCCTCTGTGCTGCTTTCTAACAGCACTCACCACTGAAGATTAGAATTACCTGTCCGTGTGTCAGGTGAGGGCGGTTTCTTTCTGTGTTTCTAATACAGTGAGAGTTTCGTCAGCGAATGGGTGAGGAATCAGTGGGGGCAAAGCCGATCATCCCCACAGCAGACATTTAAGCCCCCTGCCAGCCGCCGGCTCCTCACCATGGTGGGATCCACAGGCTCCCATTTCCCCACAGCGCTCCTCTTTTGCCCTGGAGATTAAGGTTTAGTGGGCACCTGCATCTGCCAGAGGCCACGCTGGATGCCCAGCCTGTTATTACCTTTGGTCTTCACGAGGACACCCCCTTTTAACAACCAGGGTCCTCAGACTTGGGGAGGTGAAGAATGGCCGGTGGTGGTCAGACGGCCTATGTCCAAGGCCCCTGGAGACCCACCTGGGCTCAGCTTTCTGCACTCCCTGAAGTCTTCATCATTTACCTACTGAAAAAGCCCCTGCCCCACACCCTGTGCTGATGACGTTGTGGCTCTCACCGGGGGTCCGTGCGGCTCCCCAGCCCACCTGCATTTGGAAACCACTGGCTTCTGGGAGCCCTGAGCATGTTCTCTGGGACCCTCTAGGTCTCAGGGGACCAAAGTCCCGTTTGCTCAAGGGCGGGGCCTGGATGCCCAGGGGAGCACGGCAGGGGGACGGCAGGGGGACAGCAGGGGGACGGCAGGGGGACAGCAGGGGGACGGCAGGGGGATGGCAGGGGGACGGCAGAGGGCTATGGAGAAAGCGAAGCATTTACTGAGGAGTTCCTCTTAAGAAGCCCCGACACCCCTCCCAGGCTTGGGTCGGATGCCTCTGGAGCATTTACTTAGAACCCAGTGACTTTGCTTACTGGCCCTAAGACTCCCAAAGGAGGTGACAGAGATGGAGAACCGAGCGGTCCTGTGGCCACCACCCCGCTCCATGCTGCCACCTCTGTCCCCTGACACCACACTGTCCTCCCACGTGGCCCAGCGGCCTCCCTCTGGCCATCCTCCATGGGCACAGTCCCCTGCTTCTCAGTGACCTCAGAAGGAAAGCCGGAGTCCTTAAGGTGGAGGCCCTGACCGCTGACGGCTGTGTCCATCTCAAAGTCTTGCCACCCTTTAGTGCAGCTGTTTCTCTCCTGGGGACATCGTGTGTGCTGCCCCTGCTGCCTGGAGGGGCCTCTCCACGTGACACAGGTGTACACACAGACCCTGGCCGCCTCCTGCGCATTCTCAGGGTCTCAGCTTCATGGTCACTTTCTCACACAGGCCCCCTGACAGCTCCTTCCCCTCCAGAGTCTAGTTAGTTCCTCCTGTTATCCCTCTTATGAAGTCTGTACTGTTCCTGGGAAGGTCTTCTGCTCGACTGTCATTCTGTAGCTATCTGTGTATGTTTAGCCTCTGTTCATCCCGCCTGCGTGAAAGCCCTGGGAGGCTGGGCTTGCATCGGGTTCCTTTGCTGCTCCGTGGCCAGCACCTGGCACAGGGCCGAGTGTAGACAAGCAAGTGCTCAAACTGTGCCCATCCGGGCCCTGCCTGTGGGCTCTGTGGACACCACTGCTCTCTGCAGGTCCCTGAAGGCTGGCCCTCAGGCCTTGGCACCCAGGGGGCCCACTTTTGGGTCCCGGGAGGTCTCGCTGCCCCTGAGGGGTCACTAGCAGTTGCTTTGCCTCCCGCGTGGGCATCAGGGCCACCGTGGGGGTCTGATCCTGGAGAGCACCAGTGGCCACGCTGAGGTCCTGGTGGACAGGGAGCTGGGGTGCAGCCAAAGCACCCCAGTTAAGACGCTGGGTAGGAAGGGTTCCAGGAAGGGCCCACCTGCCCCTGGACCCACAGACGGGGCACCACTGTGTGGCTGTCCCTTCTGCCACTCTGCACCCAGCTTGGCGCACCCTCCCCCTCCCCCATGTTGTTCTTTCCAGCGCCCATTCCATACCCAAGCCCTGGGGATTGGTTTTGCTCCCTTTTGGACAGGAATAAAGCACAGGTCCACGTGGCCCGGTCACCACCGTGAGGTCGGCAGTGACAGGCGCCATGCGCGTCTCACTAAGTGCCTGCCTTTAGCCCACGTGTCTGCAGCTGTCCTCTCCGGCCCCTCCTCAGGTCCATCCCGGCACGTGGCGCCCTCTGTGCCACAGATTTTCAGGACTTAGCAGGTGCCCCCTCCCTGGCAAGCACAAGGCAAAGGGCCAGAAACGGAAGGCCAGCCCTGCGGGGGCGTTACTGGACCCAGGTCAACATGGGGCGGGGCGGTCTCGAGTGCTTCATCGGGACTGATTTCCTCTCCAAGTCGGGGGTCTCTGTGTGGTGACCCTCCTGACATTTTGGACACGGCCAGTTTTTGTGTGTGTGTTGGGGGAAATCACAGGATGTTGAGCAGCAGCCCTGGTCTCCAGGCACTGGATGGCAGGAGATTCCCCTAGCCAGCTGTCTGTCCCAAATGTCCCCAGATGTCATCCAAGTCCCACTGGGGGCAAAATCACACCCAGTGCAGAACCACTGCTAAAAGAAGAGAGTCCCTGAGAGCACTAGGGGCTCCCTGTGTCTGGCAGTGAGGAGCCCGCTGCTCCTGGGCCCTCTGCCGGCCACCTGGACGGCAGCCCCAGGCAGGGAGTAGACACCCCCCCTCCTGGTCCCGGGGGGCCGGGAGTGCAGGGTGCGTGGTGTGAGCTCTGGGACCAGGACCCTGGGCTGAACTCTCAGATCTGTCACCGCTCTCGTTAAACTCAGCAAGTCCCTCCTTCTCTCTGTCACCACCACATCTGTGACAGGCAGATTGAAGACGGTGAGCTCATTCCGGGACTTTGGTGAAGATCAACCACTCAAAATATGTGATCGGTGATCACTGCGTTTGTCAAAGTCTAGCCCGAGTCCATGTCCACCCCCCACCTCTGAACACAAAGGCTCGATGGCCCGGGTCTCGTCTCAAGAAAATGCCTGACGCGGGCATTTTCAAAGGGCACCTTGGATTCCAGGATCAGCTGGCAGCCAAGGAACCAGTGACGGTCCCGCACTTCTGTGGGTACAAAGTTGCTTCTGGGGTGCCCTCTCCCCTAGCCCAGCTCGCTGCCCCCCCCTGGAGTCCCCGTGGGCCCCCCGTAGCAGCTGCCCACAGTCACCTGACACTCAGGCCGGGGGACCTCCAGGGTTCCCATTCCTGCTCTGTCCCCTCCTGAGACCTGCTTCCTCCTCTGTGGAATGAGGGTAGCCAGGGCACAGACCCTCCAGGGCCAGTGTGCAGGATGCGCCCAAATGCCAGCCGTTGACCCTGTTACTATTAATTTAATTTTACAAGAGTTCAGAAAACAGAAAGCAGGTGACAACGGGACCGTAACCAGGTCCCCTGCATCCCTCCTCTCGGGGCCTCTGGTGTGTCTGGCTGGGTGTCACCATGCCCGGTGAGCTGCTGGGAAAGACAGGTGTCCTGTCCCCAATTTGCTAGAGACGGAGGAGGGTGGGAAGGGAGAAGGGGGAAGCCCGGGCCCTGCCATGGCTGGGCTTGCAGCTGCCAGAGGAGGACGACCCGGGCGGCCTGCGAGAAGCAGACCCCGGGGAAGCAGCGAGGGCCAGGCCTGAAGGCTGCGCGTGCCCCAGGGTGGAGGGGCCCTGGGGTGGGTGCCAGTGCAGGCGCTCCAATGCAGGCCAGTGGTTTGGGGGGGGCTCCAATGTGCCAGTGATGCTCTCAGGGAGTTCCGCTCCTCGCTTGAAAGACCAAGGCAATGCCGGGCCTCAGGGCGGGCAAGGAAGGGCGCGGGGACAGCGCGGCAGGAGGGCTGACCTAGGTTGGCAGCTCCTCTTCATCCACCTCCTCCTCGGAGCCTCTCTCTCTCTCCTCCTCCTCGTCTTCCATGTCTGAACCTCTTCTCTGCTAAAGAAGAAAACAGAATGTGGGTGCAGGGCAGGCCCTCCCCGTTTCTCCGACATTGGCCCCACGAGGCCGGGCGAGGGCCTGTGGGAGCTCAGGGCTGGCGGGGTGAAATTGACGGTCCTGCGCCTGCTGTTCCTCCTGGGGTTTCACCTGCATGTGGACGTGACACCTTGCAGGGCTGACCTAGGGCTGGAAATAAGGGGTGCAGGGTGCCATCAGAGACAGCCGCCGGCCCGGGGGATGCTTTCTGTCCACTGGAGATTGCAGACAACTGCAGAGACTAGGAAAGGGGGAGGAAGGGCGTGCCAGGCCGAATTGGGGCCGGGGCCGGGACCTCAGGCCTTCCGAGGCTCAGCCTCACCTGGAATGTTCAAGCTGAGGGGAGGAATACATTTTGGGGATGAAGGCACCAAGCACAGGGCCTGTTGGCCATATCACACTGTAAAAGGTGGCCAAGGTCGCCTTCGCCTCCTGAAGGGCTGGACGGGCCGGGGGGGTGGGTGGGAGGAGCTGCCGGCCAGAGAGTCAGGATCCCCCCCTCGCCTCTGCCGCAGAAGGAGGGAGCTCTCTGCCCCTCCTGCCCCACTCAGTGCGAGAACAAAGGGGCCCCTCTCCAAGTGCTTCCAAATGCCAAACGCCCCCCCACAAGCACCAGCTCCTTAGCGCCAGTGGGAGGGGCCTCAGTCACACAGGGCCTGAGCTTGGAAGGGGCCTGCCCTTGATTATTGCCTTAGTGACACTTTTTTCAAATGCTAAGTGCTTTTTCAACAGGGGCCCCATATTTTCACTTTGGGTGTGTGCAGGGACGCAGGCCGACACCACGGAGCAGCCAGTCTGGGTCCGGGCATCCCCGACTTGGCCTTTTCTCCACCATGATGAGCTCTGGTTCCTCCCCACCTCAGCATCTTCTCTGGGGGGGGGGCCCTAAGGACCATGACACAGGCAGACCAGGTCTTGTTCTCCCTCTGTCCGCTGAAGAGGGACTGGAAGGTGACTAAACTCTCTTACACAAGCCAGGCAAGTGCTCTGCCTCAGAGCCACATCCCCAGCCCTTTCTATCTATCTATTTATTTATTTATTTTGAGACAAGGTCCTGCTAAGTTGCCAAGGCTGGCCTTGAACTTGAGGTTCTCCTGTCTCAGCTTCTCGAGTGGCTGGGGTCACAGGCGTGTGCCACTGTACCCCGCTCACTAGACACGACCTTCACAGCTCATGCTCCTCATTCACCAGCCCCGGAGATACAGCCAGGAGGTCTTCAGGGTCAGCCCCGGCCGGACAGTGACCACAGGGTCGATCCCGACACTCGGCTGCGCGAGCCGTAGCCCTTCCCTCCCCGGCCTCCAGGACTCGCCTCTCTGACAGCTGGCCGTGCCCGGGGCCCGCATTCACTGGGTCACCACGCCTGCTCAGATGCGCCTGCCGTGACACGGGGACACCCTGCCCTCAGGGAGCCTGAAGTCCATTGGGAGGCAGAACCCCCAGGAAGGAGCCAGCCATTCCTCCCAGTTGCCAGATGGACAGATGAAGGTCCGGCCCAGAGGCCACTGGCCTGAGGTCACCCAGGGAGTCTGTAAGCGGGCCGAGCAGGCCTCGTCCCCTCCCAGCCCCCACCCGGGTCCCTGCTGAGGCGCCTACGAGCTTCGACTTCTTCTCCATGGCCTCTGTCTCCTTCTTCTTCAGCTCTTGGAAGACGACGCTGAAGAACTCCTCCTCGGCCTTGGCGACCAGGTCCTGCAGGTCCACGGCCAGCTCATCGGCCGGCTGGTCATCGTCCTTGCCCTCAGCCCTGCCCTTCTCCTTCAGGCGCATCTCTCGGTGCCTGGCCTCCAGGATCTTCTCCCGCCGGGTCTCGCGCTCAAACATCTGAGGCACAGGGGACAGAGGCCAGAGGGAAGGGTGGGGCCAGGCTGGGCTTCTAGGGAGCTGTCCTCACTCGACTCAACGCAGGGCCAGCGTCAAGGAAGGACAGCTGAATACTGGGCAGAGGCTGGCGCAGGGGAAACCAGGTGTTCAATCCCCAGGAGCCCCAAGCACACAGGCCACAGGTCAGAGGGCCCTGGGGGCTGTGCAACATGGAGGCCCCGGGTCCCATGTAGGACCAGCTCAGTGGTGAGACTCCAGTCTCAGCCAGAGCCCCGAGGCTCTCCCAGGCCTCGAACTGCGGGCTTTCAACCCCACAGTGAGCCCCCTGCCGCTCCCAGGGCTGCCCAGGGAGGTCCCTTCCATCTGTCACCTCTATTGACATCAGCTAAGCCTTCATTAGAACTGACCTGATGCCAAAAAATGATTTTTAAAAAAATATTGTTTGAGCCAGGCGCGGTGGTGCACTCCTGTAATCCCAGCGGCTTGGGAGGCTGAGGCAGGAGGATCCTGAGTTCAAAGCCAGCCTCAGCAACTTAGTGAAGCCCTAAGCAATTCAGTGAGACCTGTCTCTAAATGAAATACAAAATAGGGCTGGGATGTGGCTCAGTGGTCAGTGTCCCGAGTTCAATCCCTGGTACCAAAAATTTTTTTTGTTTGTTTGTTTGAAACTGGACAAATGGACTCTGTCAAGTCACTTTGGTTTCTGGCTAAAACCCAAGGTGGGAGGTAGAGAAACTTTCCCACGGGGTGAGATGCATGATGGTCGAGCACAGGCAGGAGGGCAGAATTGACACCATTCACAGAACTCACTTCAGGACATCACACTGCCACCCACAGATGGTCCACCGTGTCTCAGGGGGTCGGAGGGAGGGGACACGTACTGCCCAGGCGCCCGGTACTTACAGAAGAAGCTATGTTCCTCTCGTTCCTCTGGAGGGTGGAGAGCCCGCTGGAGACTTCTAGCAGGGTGGTGGTCCCCAGCTGGGAGCCACAGGCAATGAGACATCCAGTGTCCTGCACCCGGAGGCAGAAGAGGGCCTCGTCACACACCTGTTGGAGAGCCGATGGGGAGGGGGAAGCAAAGTCACATTTGTCTGACCAACTGACCCCTGGGGAGACCTAGCCCCTCAGCCCTCTTCAAACACCCTCGCTGACACCCCCACTCCACAGAGTGACGTCAAACCCAGAGAGTCGCCGTCAAGACCCTCAGCCTAACCGGGCACCGTGGTGTGCACCTGTAATTCCAGCAACTCGGGAGGCTGAGACAGGAGGAGCGCAAGCTAAGGCCAGCCTCAGAACTCAGCCAGTCCCTGTCCCCAAATATAAAACAGAAAGGGCTGGGGTGTGGCTCAGTGGCAAGGCGCCCCTGCGTCCAATCTCCAGTACCAAAAAAAGACCCCTGGCCGCCAGCTTCCTCACCCCGCCAGCCCAGCCCCACTCGTCCCAAGGGACACTGTGGCCCTCCACCCGGCCAGCAGGTCTCAGCTTCAGCCTTGCTACAGGAGCTCGGGCCTGAAGTGGCTGCTGCCAGGAGCCCGTGTCCAGGGTCTGGAGGGTCCTCCTGGGGGAGGGGAGGCCAGGCATCTGCTCTCTTGTCTGTTTTAATTTCCCCTGGGTGACTCTGCCATGCCACCAGGTTCAATGTCCCCCAGGTCCTTAACTGGGTGGGAGCACATGCCCCCAAGGCAAGAGTCGAAGTCGGCCAGTATGGGACTCACCGAGAGGCCCCGCCAGACACCCCACCCCACTCAGCACACTGCCCCCCCACACCCACTCCCACCCAGGAGGGCCCCACTCATGGGGGCCTGTACACACAGGGAGGGAGTGCACCTGACCTTCAGGCTCAGGGCGGGGTCACACTGCTTGAACACAAAGTCCCAGATGTCCAGGGTTCCGTCCATCTTGGTGGTGAAGAACACTGCCGGCCTCACGGGGCTCCAGGCGCCATCAGTGAGGTAAGCCATGTGGTACCTGGGGAGCCAGCGCCAAGTGTCAGGGACCGTGGTAGGAAGGGGCAGAGCGCCCACTGAGCCACAGCTCTGCCCTCCCAGATGCTCCAGGGTCTTAGAGTCTTGCTGGGCAGGAAGTTCTTTCTTGTGTCTGACTTCTAGCCATGCCTGTCCCACCCACCCCTGGCACAGAGACTGCTCTTTACAGGGCTCCAGGCATAGTCCTTCCCGTGGGCTGGGCACTGGTGTCTCTCCACAGCAAACCAGACAGCAGGCACGTGCTGCTGGGCTGGGGCCAGGCCAGGGCACTCAGAGGCAGCAGGAGGAAGGGCATACCTGGGAAACTTCCTGATCTGGTGCCGGCAGAGTTCTACTTCCTACTGGGCTTAATCTGGATTTTCTAAAGTTTGTTCAGTGAACATGGAACCTTTTTAAAAATTACACACACACACACACACACACACACACGCACGCGCGCGTGCGCACACGCTCATGGCAGACACTTGGAATTTTCCATCAACTCCTCTCCCTCCCTCCGTGGTGGTACCTTTGCAGCTGGGCCCACTGTGGCCACACCGGGGACTACATTTCCCAGCCTCCTTTGCAACTAAGTGGGTGGCCAGGGAAGCCACCGTCGGGGAAATGGTCTAGACAAAAGGGCCTCTGGACGTACTGGACAATTACATAGTTTTTTAGTATAAACACATCCCAAATATTAGTATTGAAAGTATCAGTCATTGCTTTTTTCCCTGGAATTCAACTTTACCTGGGGATCCTGAACTTCCTATGTGTTGGACTAGGGATTGAACCGGGGGCTCTCTACCACTGATATAGCCCCCATCCTTTTTATTTTTTTATTTTGGGACAGGGTCTCGCCAGTTGCCGAGTCCAGCCTTGAACGTGTGGCCTCTTGCCTCAGCCTCCCGGGAATCCTCCAGTTTTATTTGCTGAATTTTACTGACGGCCACAGAGGCTCTGAGCTGAGCTTCCTCCGTCCGTCCCCTCCCCTCCTCTGCGCTGCCCCCTGCCCAGCCTCCTGGGGGCTTACTTGGTCCACATGATGGACGACTCCCGGCTGTCCTCCGACCAGATGCGGGCTGTCCAGTCCCCTACCGTCAGGAAGTTCTTCGGGTAGAAGGGGTTTCTCTGGAGGGCGTAGATGGGGCCGTGGTGGCCTGAGAAGGTGCACACGATCTTCTCGGCTGAGGTCTTGGCCTTGCGGTTGCAGGAGACGACGATACCCTGCTCCGTGCCCACCATGAACTTGGTTGGCTGTGGAGGGGGTGACAGAGGGGAAGGGGCTGTGGGACAGGGTGGCATGGCCAGCAGGCTGCCCAGGGGGCTGCAGGTGCTCACAGACCCCCGGGTGAAGCTCTGGGCAGGCTGGGACCCACCCAGCTCTTCTGTCCCTCTCTTCCCAGTCTTGAGCACCTGCTGGAGGACCCCAGGCTTATGAGTCCCTCCCTGACCTTCAGTTCCTGGAGGTCACCACCAGCCCTCTTTAAGGAGCATGGCTTTGTCCATCAGGCATTTGCCACAGGGATCCTGAATGTTTAAGATCAACAAGGCCCAGAGCAGGACACAGTGCCAGGCCACCCCTCGGGAGGCAGGCAGAGCCTCATCTGACCAGACGGTGACATGAGCCCTAGCATCATCCCGGTTAGATGTCCCTGAGGACTTGGAGCAGGTGGTCCCCCATACTGGGAAAGTCGCCTGGCAGCCAGTGATGTGCCTGTCCCCTCTGGTCTGAGTGCCTTGCGGGGACCGTGACATTCACAGGTGCGTCCCCTCTCTGTGCAGGGAGCACCGTCCTGCCAGGTCCCCATCAGGGCTGAACACAGAGCCCTGTGCTAGGGTGGGGGTGGGGACGCTGGGGAGTAAAAAGGCCGTGCCCAACATCCTCAGGTGGACGTGGAGACAGACCCTCACTTCTCCCCGCTGTCCCTCTCCCTGTGTGGATTGGGCCACCCAAAGGCTGCACATCTGTGTAGACTAGATTTGGTGCTTCCAGAAACTTCCCTCCTCTGACACAGTGAAGTGACAGGATGGCCAGGCATGGAGCTGGTCAGAGGAAGAGCTGGTCCACGTGGGGCCCTGGGCGGGGGTTTAGAGGTGTTGTCCCAGTGGGTCCCAGGCCACCGTAGCCCCTAGCACCCGGCAGTGACACATCATCTGCAAACACGGGGTGCTGCCGCCTCAGGGCCTTTGCACAGCTGCTCTGTGGCCTGGGCACTCTCGCCCTGGTTATCCGCTTGGCCAGTTCTTCGTCCCTCAGAAGCTCGCTGGGCTCTCACCTTGGCCTGGAGGACCCCGGCAGGCTCTGCTTCACGCTCACCCTGACCGCGGTCTAACCCACGACGGCCACACCACCCTGCCCTGCTCTCTGCGTGTGCCCCCAGCCCCTTCCAGGTATGTGCTTTATTTCTTCATCTGCCGTCTGTCCCACCACCCAAAGTCACGCTCCTTGAGGACAGACACTTTGGAAGGGTGCCTGGTGTGAGCAGGGACTCAAAGGTGTTTGTCGAACAACCGAGAGAATAACGTGAACAGAAGAAAAAAGAGCCCCCGCTGCACCCCCTCCCCCCAAGCCCGTTCCCTCTGGCAGAGAACGTCATCAACAGGGCCTTGTCGCCAGCAGCTCAGGAGGTGCCACAGCCCGTCCAAAAGCCCTCGCAAAACCGGTGACAATACACACCTGTGTTCCCAGTGGAATGAGCCACACTAGCCAGGAGATGGGAGCGACCTGAGGGCCTCGGATGGATGAGTGGATAAAAAAATGGGATCTACCCACATGACAGAATATTATTCAGCCTTAAAAAGGAGGGGGATTCTGGCACCTGCTACAGTTTGGATGGACCTTGAGGTCATTGTCCAAAGGGAAAATGACACGTTTTATGGTCCCACTCACAGGACATTCCTAGCACAGTCAGATCCACAGAGATAGAGTAGGCTGGTCGGCAGGGAGGTGGGGTGCGCTCATTCAAGGAGTGAGCAGTTTTGAGGGTTTGTGTCTATTTTTTGTTTGTTTTGGTTTTGGTACTGGGGACAGAACCCAGGGACATTCTACCACTGAGCCACACCCCCAGCCCTTTTTATTTTTTGAGACAGGGCCTCCCTCAGTTGCTGAGGCTGGCCTTGGACCTTCGATCCTCCTGCCTCAGCCTCCCATGTCACTGGGATCACAGGTGGGCACCAGGGCACCCAGCAGGAGTTTCAGTGTTGCAAGAGGAAAACAGCTGCAGAGGTGGCGGTGGTGGCACCACAGTGTGAATGCGCCTCTCGCTACCTTACACCTTAAAGTGGTAAAGACGGTACATTTTACGCGTTTGTTAAAAAACATAATTAAAAATGCACACAGCTGGGGAGGTAGCTCAGGGACAGAGCGCCTGCCTGGCTTGCACAAAGTGCTTGGGTTCCATTCCCAGCAAATAAAGGAGAAAAAAAGGAAGAGAAAGAAGAAAAAAATCACAAAGGCAAATCGAGACGGAGCTGAGCCGTCCCGAGAGGTATGTGAGTGCGCAACGCGGCGGCTGGGATGGGGACCTCAGCTCACAGGTAGGACAGCCGGTGTCCCGCACATGCGCACTTGGTTAAGACCGACCAGGCCTGGGGTGCTCACGGCCTCCAGTGCGAGCCTAGAAATCCCCGCGCCCAGGGCCGAATGTTTTCTGAGCCCTGTCACCTGCCCGGCCTCCTGTGCTTTGTCCTCTTATGCCAGGGCTGGGGTCAGAAACCAGCCCCAGCCGAGAGCCACGTGGACAGCGTGGCCTTGTCTAGAGCGTCCTCATTTGCTGCTTCCAGAAACTTCCCTCCTCTGACACAGCCACAGCACAGCTGAATTCGGCGTCCCCGCTCCCCCGGCCCCAGTTCTGGGGATTGAATACCAGCCTTCCCCCCTACATTTTTTTGTTTTTTTTTTGAGAGAGGGTATGGCTAAATTGTGGAGGCTGGCCTTGAATTTACAATCCTCCTGCCTCAGCCTCCCTGGTCCCTGGGATGACAGGGGTCCACCACCACTCCCAGCTTGACATTTCTTCAGGGTTCCTTTTTGGCTCCCCCCGGCCCCCCAGTACTGAGGGTGGAGCCCAGGGCCTCCTGCGTGCTGGGGAAGCCGGGGACCATGGGAGGCCAGCCCACCCCTCAGCTCTTAGCGGGGCCTGTGCTCTGGTTTTCAAGGTTCTCCCTCTCGTCTCACTTCCCTCTCCACCGCTTCGCTTTCTGCCCCAGCAGAAGGAAAGTGACCCCTTTCCCTCCAACACACCAGGCGAGGCAGGGCCTTTCTGAGTTTCGGTCCCGGTCAGACCCCTTCCCGTAGAATGGGCTTTTCCGGATCTTGTTCTGTTGAAGATCACCTTCTGGTCCCCAGGGCCACCAAGCAAGGGGGTGGCTCAGCGGGCTGGGAACGGGCGCCTCCCCTTCCCCGTGGACTCTGCTGCCCCCTGCTGGAGGTCATTGTAGAAACCAGGCAGGTGGAAGGCGGCTGCCAGGCCCCAGGCCCCGGGCCCGGGCCGGCCTGTCCTCAGGGGCTCAGGGGAGGGAGGGCCGAGACTCACCAACGTGGACTCGAACTCCAGGGAGATGGCGCCCAGGGCGTTCTCCAGCAGCTCCTTTCTGGTGATGTCCATGACCACCACCTCCGTGGGCTCGCTGATCTTGCGGATGTCCCACCACATGACCTGGTGGCGAGAGAGGGCAACTGGGAGACCCTGAGGTCCCAGGGCTTTCCCCTCCCTCCTCCGGGGCATAAAGGGTGCAGGGTCCATGAGAGCAAGTGCCCTGGAGAGTGGCTGAGCATCCGGGTCACCAGCAGCTGCCTGAAGTCCAGGAGCCAGGACCTGGCCTGGACTGGATTCAAGTTGCCGGGCGGGGGCCTAAGAATCTGCATTCTCCAAGGCTCCCCGCGGCACAGCCAGATCCAGCAGGACGAGAACCCACGTGTGCTCCCAGCCTCCGCCAGGAGGGAAGGTGGCAGCTGTTCACATGTGTGCAGGAACCTAGGTCCACACACTCTCCTGGCTGTAGTTTTTTTGGGGAAGGAACCAGGGAGTGAACTCAGGGCACTCCACCCCTGAGCCATCCCAGTCCTATTTTGTATTCATTTAGAGACAGGGTCTCACGGAGTTGCTTAGGGCCTCACTGTTACTGAGGCTGGTTTTGAACTCGCAATCCTCCTGCCTCAGCCTCCCCAGCCCCTGGGATTACAGGTGTGGGCCACTGTGCCCAGCTTTGCTGTACTTTTCCTGGTAAAAAACAAAATATAAAATCCACTTAAGTATCCCAGGGGCTTGGGAGGCTGAGGTCGGAGGACCACAGGTTCCAAGCCAGCCTCAGCGACCTAGCGAGACCTTATCTCAAAAATAAAAAGGGCTGGGGGATATGGCTCAGTGGTAAAGCACCCCTGAGTTCAATCCACAGTACCCAAACCAAACAGACCAACAAAGAAGTGATGACACCCTCCTACCAAGCAGTCCCTAGCAGGCTTGGGCAGTGCTTTAGGAAATAAGAAATCGTCTTTGAGATCCGCTAAATGGAAGCTCAGACCGTCTGAGGTGGGTGCTTGAAACGAGGCCCCCGGGAGGGCTGACGGTGGTGGGCAGGGTGGAGATCACCGTCTGATTTCATGTCTTTAGGTCTTGCTCCACGTGCATGTGTTACCCACTGTGCAATTCACACATCAAATGTAAAAGGGAAGTTTCTCCAGGCACCGTGGGGGGACACGGGGTGCCATGCCGGGCCTCCTCTCCTCCCCGGGCTGGCCGGGTGCTACCTGCCCATCTGTGGATGCCGAGAAGCACTCAGTGCCCGTCTTCGACTGCAGCCAGATGGTGCCGTACACGGGGTCTCGGTGGCTGAACTCGATGGTGGACAGCTCGGCCACCAGGCTGCCCTTCCGTGTGTCCCAGCAGGCTGGCAGGGCAGGGGAGGAGAGACACGGGGTCACAGAGGCCCCAGCTCTTTCTTGCTGGTGCCAGGAGCAGGGAAGGAGGGAGGCTGCTTCTCTGGCTTGACCGTGTGTAGACTTGGGAATTAGGACCAGGCTCAGACCGGCCTGAGCTTCTTACTGGCCTGCAAAACCCTCCCCGAGACCCCCAGAGTGCAAGCTTCATTCCCGCGCTGTGGCGCTGAGCACCACCCGGGTCCTGAGGAAGCGGCTGGGAATGGGCCAGGCTGGGTCCCCAGGGAGGGCAGGGTGGGGTCAGGGAAGGCTCCTGGGGGAAGTGGGGGGGAGCCTGGGGATGGAGGGGGCGAGGGGGTAGAATCCCTGCTCCCCGCAGGGAAGAGCCCCTGAGAGGCCCCGTCAGGAAAATCCTCCTGCCGCTCCAGCTCCTCCCGCCTCCCCCTCCCGTCCTCCCGCCTCCTCCTCCCGTCCTCCCGCCTCCTCCTCCCGTCCTCCCCCTCCCGTCCTCGTCCTCCTCCCGTCCTCCCGCCTCCTCCTCCCGTCCTCCCGTCCTCCCCCTCCCATCCTCCCGCCTCCTCCTCCCGTCCTCCCCCTCCCGTCCTCGTCCTCCTCCCGTCCTCCCGTCCTCCCCCTCCCGTCCTCCCGTCCTCCCCCTCCCATCCTCCCGCCTCCTCCTCCCGCCTCCTCCTCCCGTCCTCCCGCCTCCTCCTCTCGTCCTCCTCCTCCCGTCCTCCCGTCCTCCCCCTCCCGTCCTCCCGCCTCCTCCTCCCGCCTCCTCCTCCCGTCCTCCCGCCTCCCCCTCCCGTCCTCCCCCTCCCGTCCTCCCGTCCTCCTCCTCCCGCCTCCTCCTCTCGTCCTCCTCCTCCCGCCTCCTCCTCTCGTCCTCCCCCTCCCGCCTCCTCCTCTCGTCCTCCTCCTCCCGCCTCCTCCTCTCGTCCTCCTCCTCCCGCCTCCTCCTCTCGTCCTCCTCCTCCCGCCTCCTCCTCCCGTCCTCCCCCTCCCGTCCTCCCCCTCCCGTCCTCCCGCCTCCTCCTCCCGTCCTCCCGTCCTCCTCCTCCCGCCTCCTCCTCTCGTCCTCCTCCTCCCGCCTCCTCCTCTCGTCCTCCTCCTCCCGCCTCCTCCTCCCGCCTCCCCCTCCCGTCGTCCTCCTCTCGTCCTCCCCCTCCCGTCCTCCCGCCTCCCCCTCCCGTCCTCCTCCTCCCGTCCTCCCGTCCTCCTCCTCCCGCCTCCTCCTCTCGTCCTCCTCCTCCCGCCTCCTCCTCTCGTCCTCCTCCTCCCACCTCCTCCTCCCGCCTCCCCCTCCCGTCGTCCTCCTCTCGTCCTCCCCCTCCCGTCCTCCCGCCTCCTCCTCCCGCCTCCCCCTCCCGTCGTCCTCCTCTCGTCCTCCCCCTCCCGTCCTCCCGCCTCCCCCTCCCGTCCTCCTCCTCCCGTCCTCCCCCTCCCGTCCTCCCGCCTCCTCCTCCCGCCTCCCCCTCCCGTCCTCCTCCTCCCGTCCTCCCCCTCCCGTCCTCCCCCTCCCGTCCTCCTCCTCCCGTCCTCCCGCCTCCTCCTCCCGTCCTCCCCCTCCCGTCCTCCCCCTCCCGTCCTCCTCCTCCCGTCCTCCCCCTCCCGTCCTCCTCCTCCCGTCCTCCTCCTCCCGTCCTCCTCCTCCCGTCCTCCCCCTCCCGTCCTCCTCCTCCCGTCCTCCCCCTCCCGTCTTCCCCCTCCTCCTCCCGTCCTCCCGCCTCCTCCTCCCGTCCTCCCCCTCCCGTCCTCGTCCTCCTCCCGTCCTCCTCCTCCCGTCCTCCTCCTCCCGTCCTCCCCCTCCCGTCCTCCCCCTCCTCCTCCCGTCCTCCCGCCTCCTCCTCCCGTCCTCCCCCTCCCGTCCTCGTCCTCCTCCCGTCGTCCTCCTCCCGTCCTCCCGCCTCCTCCTCTCGTCCTCCTCCTCCCGTCCTCCCGCCTCCTCCTCTCGTCCTCCTCCTCCCGTCGTCCTCCTCCCGTCCTCCCGCCTCCTCCTCCCGTCCTCCCGTCCTCCCCCTCCCAACCTCCCCCTCCCGTCCTCCCCCTCCCGTCCTCCCCCTCCCGTCCTCCCGCCTCCTCCTCTCGACCTCCCCCTCCCGACCTCCCCCTCCCGTCCTCCCCCTCCCGTCCTCCTCCTCCCGTCCTCCCCCTCCCGTCCTCCTCCTCCCGTCCTCCCGTCCTCCCGTCCTCCCGTCGTCCTCCTCCCGACCTCCCCCTCCCGTCCTCCCCCTCCCGTCCTCCCATCCTCCCCCTCCCGTCCTCCTAGGGAACTCCCGGAGGAGGAGCTTGACCACCATCTGCTCTTCCTGCTCTGCCAAGAAACACGTGGAGCCGAGGAGCATTTCCTCCTGACGGATTCTGTGTTCATTTTCCCAGGGGCGAGCGCAGGGGCCCACGCTCTTACTCAGAGCCTTTTCAGGAAACTGGTTTGTAAAACAACCAAAGAACTCGGTTCCTCAGTTTTGACTTAGTATCCTCCCAAGTCCAAGGCATTTGTCCCTGAACTGGCCTGGACCAGAAATGGGTAGTGTGTGAGTGTGTGAGTGTGTGTGTGTGAGTGTGTGTGTGTGAGTGTGTGTGTGTGAGTGTGTGTGTGAGTGTGTGTGTGAGTGTGTGTGTGTGAGTGTGTGTGTGAGTGTGAGTGTGTGTGTCTGTGTGTGTGAGTGTGTGTGTGTGAGTGTGTGTGTGTGAGTGTGAGTGTGAGTGTGAGTGTGTGTGTGAGTGTGAGTGTGTGTGTGTGTGTGAGTGTGTGTGTGAGTGTGAGTGTGAGTGTGTGTGTGTGTGAGTGTGTGTGTGTGAGTGTGTGTGTGTGAGTGTGTGTGTGAGTGTGAGTGTGTGTGTGTGAGTGTGTGTGTGTGAGTGTGTGTGTGAGTGTGAGTGTGAGTGTGAGTGTGTGTGTGAGTGTGAGTGTGTGTGTGTGTGAGTGTGTGTGTGTGTGAGTGTGTGTGTGAGTGTGAGAGTGTGTGTGAGTTGTGTGTGTGTGTCTGTGTGTGTGAATGTGTGTGTCTGTGCGTATGTCTGTGTGAGTGTGTTTGTGTGTGTAAGTGTGAGTGTGTGAGTGTGTCTGTGTGTGAGTGTGTGTGTCTCTGTGTGTGTGTGTGTGTCTGTGCGTATGTCTGTGTGAGCATGTGTGTGTGTGTGTGTCTATGTGTGTGTGTGTGTGTGTGTGTGTGTTTAGCTATAGTGTGGATTGAACCCAAGGATGCTCTACCACTGAGCTAGTTTCCAGTCCTTTTCATTTTGAGACAGGGGCTCACTAAGTTGCCCAGGCTGGCCCTGAATTTGTCATCTCCTGCCTTGGAGTCACCGGGATCACAGGTGTGTGCTGCAGTGCACTTCCTTGGCTAAGTTTGCTCTGCTTGGGCAAGGCAGTGCTCAAGGGCGGGTCCCATGGGCCCCACGTGGCCCCCACTCTTACAGCAACAGGGCTACTGTGAGCTGGCAAGAAAACCCCTGGGGTTGTGAACAATGAGTGAGGCAGGCTCCTGAGTAAGTCATGGGGTGGGGGGGAGCCCTGCTTCAGTCTTTGGAGCTCTGGCACCCGGAATAATTTGGCAGAGAGATGTATGGGAGCCTAGGCCACAGCCTGAGAGCTTCCCCAGGGAGGGGCAGGTCTGAGAGGGAGAAGGGCCTCAGGAGGCCCAGGGAGCCTGGCTATGGCCGGGGGTTCTTAGCCTCCCTCCTCCTGCTCCTGAAGGAGACAAAGTAAAGCAGCTCGTGGGGTGGGAGGATGGGGAACCCCTCGATGCCTGAGGTCAAGACTGGCCCAGGGTGTTGTGGGGGCAGAGGGCAGCAGGGACATTCAGAGCTAAGGGGCCGGTTTCTTGGGATCTTACTGGGGATTTGTTTCAATCTGTTTTCCAGGTGTGCCATCAGCAAAAGCAGCAGAGTGAGGACTTCCAAAATTCTTCCAAAGTAGCAAGGTGACAACTGACCAAAATGGTCAACACCAACTTTTTCAGAACTCTGGAATCATTTGATTCCTGGCCGCATTCTGGAGAGCTATGCTCCAGGGAAGCAAAGACTCTCGGTGGTTCCGGGAGGATCCCTCCTCGGTGTCCGCATTGGACTTGGCTCAGAGTTTGCACAGGGCAGGAAAGTCTTTTCCTTGAGGCACAACCGCAGGCGGCTTCCTGAGGCAGTGGGTAACAGGTGCGCCCAACAGCAGGCTTTAGAGGAGGCGCCGGGTCAGGAGCTGCCCCAAGCTTGGACCCTTCCTGGACATCTAGGGGCCCCCGGCACTGCTGGCTGTGTGCTGGCCTGCGGCCAGGCCACCCTGAACAGAACACAGTCTACTCAAGCACAGACCGAGTGTCCTCCAGGAGAGGCGGCAGAACAGCCCGGAAACAATCTCCATCAAGGTTAACGAGACTGAGATCAGGCCCAGCCTTTCTGACCAAAATGGAACGGAGTGGAGATCAATAGCGGGAGGAAAACTAGAAGGTTCTCAAGCAGGTGGTAAAACACACACACACACACACACACACACACACACCCTGAACACCACCGAGACAGACAGGAAATGAAAAGGGAAATCGGGACATGCGAGCCAAGCACCAGGACACTAAGACCAAGAGTCGGGAGGAGAGGGACGCTCCCACCTGTGGAGGGCAGTATTTTAAGACCAAGGCCAACAAACACGGAAACAAGCTCTGGGGTGTAACTCAGGGGTACAGCGTTCCCGCCTGGCATGGGCAAGGCCCTGGGCTCTGTCCCCAGCACGGCCAAAACAACATCCCAACCCAAACAGAGCCAAAGTGCCCTCAGATCCGTACCCTAACCTGCCTGAAGAAACTAGAGGAACCACAAATTAAACCCAAAGCTGACAGAAGGAAGCAATGACCTTGGAGACTTCACCAGCCCCTTTTTATATTTTATTTAGAGACGGGATCTCACTGAGTTGCTTAGGGCCTCGCTCCGTTGCTGAGGCTGGCTTTGAACTCACTGTCCTCCTGCCCCAGCCTCCTGAGCCTCTGGGATGACAGGCGCGTGCCACTGCCCTCAGCCAAAAACTGGTTCTTGAAAAGAAAATGAAACTGACAAATCTGTAGCTAGACCAGGGGGGAAAGGAGGGTGCGAATGACTAAAAGCAGGAAGCACACGACCACCAGCCTTGCGGAGAGGACAATGACCGCGTGATGGCCGTGAAGGATGATAGCCGTGAAGGATTGGGAGTCTACCAAGTAGACAGGAGGGGCGAGGGGTGAAGTGGAAAAGTCCCTGGAAAGACAGACTATGAAAACAGATGGATTCAAGGGGAAACGGAAAATGGGAAGAGACCCATAACCGATGGGATGGGCCTAGGAATTCTAAAACTTCCAAATACAGGAGAACCCGGGCCAGCTCCCCCGGTGAATCCTACCAGACGTCTGAGGAGTCGGTGCCAGTCCTTCCCCAGCTCTTCCAACACAGATGGGGACCGGCTTCCCAGAGCCTTCCACAAGGCCAGAACCGCCAGGCCCATCACCCAGAGGTCTGCTCCCCCAAGGCGGGCTCCACAAGGTCTCACCGTCCCTCTAAGAGTGGCCCCTAATCACGTGTTCCCTGACTGGACTCAAACTTCGGCTTTTTAGATCTTTCTATTTTCTTATAGCAATGTGGTCTGTTTTATTTTAATATCTTTTAGTTGTCAATGGACTTTATTTATTTATATGTGGTGCTGAGAATCCAACCCCGTGCCGCACACATGCCAGGCAAGCGCTCTGCCCTGAGCGCCAGCCCCGGCCCTTTTAAAGCTTTTTATTTTAAGCCAACCTCAGGCTTACTGAAGTGGACTAGAGGCAGCGCCAACAGAACCAGCTGACTGGCCAGCATCTGGGGTGGCCAGCTGCAGAGGTGCCCGCCCCCGGGGTCTTCCCGGACCCGCCCGGGCAGGCGCTGGCTGAGAGCCGGGTCCCTCCTTACCTATCTGCCCGTTGTAGCAGCCCCCCAGGAGCACGTGGGAATCTTTGGGGTTGTACTCCAAGGTGACCAGCGGAGAAGGTGGCTTCAGGACAATTTCAGGCCTATTCGGGTTTTCTATAAAACAGGAAAAAGAAAAAGATCTCGCCGGGCCTGCACAGAAGAGGACAGGGTCAGCCAGTTTACCCCCCTTTTCCAGAGGAGGGTGGTTAGAGGGCAGCCATTGAGACCCCCCCCATCTTTCTCTGGCCTGCTTCCTTTGGCCCCGAGGCCTAATTCTTAGCTACTGGCTTTATTTGGGGGGACTGGGACATTGGCGTGGGTGTTCAACTCCAGTTGTAGTCCGTTTCTCATATTTGGTGTGAAACCAGCTTTTACGCCTAAGGTTCTTACACAGAGTCAGTTCTCACGGGGTCTTCAAATCAGGCCTGTGGGGGGGCGGGGATACCCGAGGTCCACCCCGGGGGGTTGCTGCGAGAACTGGGCGAGCTGTTCAGGTCAGCTCTGGATGCAGCGCCTGCACAGTTGTTGTAAGGAGGGGGAGAACGGGAAGCCGGGGGTGTTGCTCGGGCCAGGCTCTTGCCCCTGCAGTGAAGAAAGGGTCCTGCTCCCAGCAAAGTTGGGTCAAGGCACAGTCCCCTCCCCTCCCCTTCCCTTTGGGCTCCCTTCAGCCTGCTGGGCCTCTCTCTGTCAGGCTCTCCAGGGACCGACGGTTGGAGTCCCCTTGGGTTTGGTATTTATTTGTTCATTTTGCAGTACTAGGGATTGAACTTGGGATGCTCTACCCCTGAGATACAGCCTTGGCCCTTTTTAGAATTCTATTTTGAGGCAGGGTCTTACTAAGTTGCCCAGGTTGGCACTGAACTGGCCTCGGCCTCCTGAGTCAGGGGACCACAGGCGTCCATCATGGAGCCCTGGCTGGGGTGTGGTCTTCATGCCCCAGATGAGGAATCTGGAATTGGAGCTGGAGGTCAGCCCAGCGGGTGTGGGTCCTGGGCTCAATCCCCGGCACGGCAGCAAAGGGACAGCAGGGATTTCCTCCTGGCCCCTTCCACTCCCTGGCTGGCCCTGGCCTCAGCCCTGCCTGGCCAGCAAGACGCTGCTGCCCCTCACCCAGTTCCCAGATGTATGACTCGTGGCTCATGCCCGCAGGTGCCCGCTGAAAATTCAAGCAAGAATAGGCCACTGCCAACTTCCGGTTGCCATCAGGGTGCCAGGAGACGTGTGTGGCTGCCCGCTTGATGTCCTGCGGATCCCTTTGGGGAGAGGAAGGGAGTCAGAAGGCTGGAGGGTGGGGTTCCCCCAGTTTCTAGTTATTCTAGCACAACTAGATTTTTTTTTTCTTTAAAAAATACTCAAGTATATCTAAGGAACCACCTTCACTTCAGAAAATCTATTTTAAAAACAAAGTGCAGGGAGAGGAAGGGGGAGGGGAAGGGGGAACACTAGGGAAGGATATCGGCCACATTATATTGTTATTTTAACTATATGGTTATGTTGTGTTTGTACAAATGCCTAACAATGAATCCCACCATGGTGTATTAATTATCCTGCACCAATAAAAAGTGGGAAAAAAAATAAATCCAAACCAAGTTGACAAGACTCCCGTAAATGGAAAACCAGTCCCACCAACTATAAATAGAAGGTAATAATAAAAACCAAGACAATGGGAACAGGCAAAACATGAAACTCCAGTTTAACCCTCCGCTCGCTGGAAGTCGAGCCAGAGCCTGATCTTCCATTGCAATTCGATTCAAAAGGGGTCAGGAAGTCTAGCCATCTCACGCCCCCGTGTTGACTCAGATGAGTTGAAAACTTCTGTCCACACAAAACCCTGCATACGAATGTTTATGGCCACTTTATTCAAATTGCCAAGACAGGGAAGCAACCAAATTGTCCTTCAATGGCTGCGTGGATAAGTGGTAGTGAACCCAGACGATGGGATACCACTCAGCACGAGAAAGGAGATGAGCTATCAAGACCTGAGAAGACACTCTGGGAAGGGCCAACTACGCAGACAGGAAGAAGATGAGTGGTTGCCAGGGGCTCGGGACTTGGGAGGGATGAAGAGGTGACCACGGGGCATTCTGAGGGCAGGGGAACTACGCTGTACCTGACTGCAATGATGGACCCCAACCCATGGGGTGTGCAAGCCTCAGGAACAACCCTGACGGAAACTAGGGAGTGACAGTGGTGTGTCTGTCCATGCAGGTCCAACTGGTGGGCATGCTGGCAATCGGGGCTGTGTGCCCAGGGCAGGAGGTGGGAGGGGCATGTGGGAACGCTCAGTACCTTCTGCTCAATTTTGTTATGAGCCTAAAACTGAAGTCTGGGAGTCGGGGCTGGGGCTGGAGCCCCTGGTAGAGCACTTGCTGTGCATGCCTGAGAGTCCTGGGACAAGGTCTAGCGCATCATGTGTTTGAGGGGTCCCTATGTGGGGTCAGAGCCCAGCGGGGCTGGGGACAGCATGTGCCTGCTGCACATCCCTGGGTACAGCCATTGGCCCTGCTCCGCACCTCACAGGTCACCACTGGATCAGAACAGGTTGTGCTGGGACAGGGACAGGTACTTCCTAGGATGCTTGGTCAGCTGTGGTGGCAAAACGAATCCCCCAAGTTGGCACCAGAGGCCGGTCACCTCCAAATGCCTGTCATCTCTGGAATCCGCATCACCCAGACCAGACCTGACCCCGCCCAGGGTCCTCAGAGATGCCTAGGCCTGCCTTCCACTACCTCTACTTCTAAATGGACAGCCATCTCCCTCCTGCCCCCTCCACCGCCATGAATGTGGCCCCACCTGCAACTCCTCTCACCAAGTCATCAGGATGAGCGGTCCCTTTGCCCTGGTCCTCTCCCCATTCCTGTCCCCAAACTCTCCTTCCTTACCCTACACATGTGCTCAGAGGCCCCATGTGAAGTCAGTGTCATGCCCTTCTAGGGCTGCTGGAACCAGGGACCACAACTAGGTGGTTGTTCTTGTTTGTTTTTTGTTAGGTTTGTTTTGTTTTGCGGTGCTGGGGACGGAACCCAGGGCCTTGCACGTGCCAGGCAAGCACTCTACCCCTGAGCCGCAGCCGGGCCTTAGGTGTCCTTAACAACAGAAATTCATTCTCTCCCACTTGAGGCGGCCAGAAGTCCAAAATTGCAGGCGTTCTCTGCAGGTGAAGTATATGCACAAACCTGTCCACAGATGCAGTACACACGCGTACACATGGATAGACCCGTGCACGTGTACAATAGGTATTTCTAAACAAAAATTAGCACTCTCAGCCAGGAGCAGTGGCCACTCCTGTGATCCCCGCAACTAGGGGACTGAGGCAGAGGACTGCAAGTTCAAGACTAGCTTCAGCAACTTAGCGCACTCCATCTCAAAATAAAAAAAAATAAAAACAGCTGGGGAGGTAGCTCAGTGGTGGAGCACTTGCCTATCATGTGAGGGGCCCTGGGTTTAATTCCCAGTGCCAAAAAAAAAAGTAGCAGCACACTCTCCCCTTTACTCTTCCACAGCTTGGTTGGGTTTGGTTTTCACATAAGCAGTCTTGGAAACGGGTCCCTCTTGTCACAGAAGGAGTCGCCCCGTACTTCCAGCCCCCCCCTCCCCACACACCGATACCCCTTTGTGGGCTCTGCCAGAACTGTGGGAACCAGCCCCCGACTGATGGATCTGGCTTGTTGGAGCTCTGGTCAGCACACCCTGATGCAGTGAAGATCCTCACACAGAGAACACACAACACCCACAAATCCCTGCTGTCCTTTGAGGCTATTCCCAGATCCACTCCTGCAAATGTGGGCCAGCAACCTGTGTGCCCACGACCCACTGGAACCCTGTTGTGGGTGCCTTGTCCTGCTCTGCCCGGTGGGAGATCCTCCCCCTGTGCCCAGCTTATACAGGCCCAAGCCTGGTCAGCACATGCCTCCCCACGGGGCAGGGACCACTTCCTGCTGGGCACCAGCTTGCTCTGACCCTCGTCGAGCTGGGGCACAGACAGCCTAGTGACAGCGGCTTGGAGTGATGAGCAAGGAGTCCCTTTTGGAGGTGACAGGTTGGCCAGAGGCCAGCCTCGCTAGCAGCTACCTGAAGACATTAATGGTCTTAGCTGAAGGGGCCTCTTCCGTCACCTCCACCTCTTCCTCATCGTCAAAATACTCCTGGTAGATGTCAATGGCGTTGTTCTGCTTGATGCAATGCTCCATGATCTGAGGGGACAGAGCAGGGGTGCTCAGCAGGAAGGAGAGGGCCTGCAGGCCCAGGGGCTGGCTGGAGTCTAGGAGGAACAGGGGCACCAGGGGCCTTTTCCTGTTCTTTGGCCAATGCATTTTCTTTCTTTCTTCTTTTCTGCAGTGCTGGAGACGGCACCCAGGGCCCTGCACTGGCCAGGAAGTGTGCAACCACTGAACTCTACCCCAGCCCATGGCTTACGCATTTTCAATTGGCTTTTGAAGGTGAATTAATTGCTTTCTGTGTACAAAGCACTGATGCACACACAGCACATCAACAGATAAACGAGATATCTGTGGCATTAAAATTTCATGGAGGGAGGAGGAGATTTTTTAAAAAATGTCTAAAAATACTCTTGGGGAGGGATGATAATGAAAAAAATGTTGAAAAATGTTGCTCTAGCCAAACAATTTCATCAGGCCTGTGTATATGTGGCACCCATATATTTGTCTGGACCTCCAGTGGATCTCTAACTCTTCGGGGAAGGATGTAAGTGAGATCCATTTTGCAATCGACACTGAGCCAGCCTGAGACTTAAAGCTTATTCCAAATTTATTGGATGTGGGCTGGGATTGTGGCTCAGTGGTAGAGTGCTTGCCTAGCATGTGTGAGGCACTGGGTTCAATTCTCGGCACTTCATGTAGATAAATTTTAAAAAAGGTCCATCAACAACCCCCGCAAAAAAATTAATAAAAAAAAAAGAAGTAGTAAAGGAACAAAACTTTTTTTGGGGGGGTCCTCTCTGCCCCGGGGGTTTCCCACTTTTTTAGGCTCTTTGTAAAACCTGCTCAGCTATGGCCCTGTGAGGTCAGCAGTCGGTCTCTTTCCCCAGAGTAGCCATGTGGACCCATGGCTGGCACACTCTGGCACCCGAGGAGCTGGAGTGGCAGGGAAGGTCCTCAGTGGCGCCGAGCCTCACCGAGCCAAGCTGCATGATGGCATTGATGTAGTTCTCGTCCTTCTCTACTTTTTTCCGGAAGCGAATCGTCTGCTCCAGCTCCAGGGGGTTCACATCCTTGGGCCAGCCCCCCTCGACGTGGTTGACCCCTCGGGTCTCCATCTCAAACCGCTCCGTGTTTGCCTGAACAGAGGGGCCACCGGTGAGACGTCCACCTCCCGGACAAGTCCAACCTCTGCTCCTGCAAACCAGGAGCCTCCTGGGACCCTCAGCTCTCTGACAGACCGAGGAGGTGCCCTGGCTAAAGCCACAAAGTCAGGAACCTCCAGGTCCTCGGGCAGTCACTGGTGACCTTGCAGTGCCACCCCGTGGAGGCAGCTACTTGGCCCTTGATAGCAGTGGTCATGGAAGACCCAGGGCCCAGATCCCCTGAGTCTAGTGGGCCCAGGAACCCACCCCACCTGTTCTGCAAGATTCAGAAGAAAAGAGAAGGGAATGCTTCTTTTCCACCCGGCCAGCATTGGAGTTGGACATCGAAGCATCAACAGGGACTCAGAGGCTGGATCTGCGTCCCTCTGGAGCCAGGGGAGTTTAATCTGTTGGACTAGCTTCTTGGCTCCAGCCCACTTTTCCCCATTTTAAAAACTTTGGTGACGTACACATGACTCAACATTTGCCATCTTAATCATTTTACAGTGTGCAGTTCCGTGGCCTTACCATTCACAGTGCCACGCAGTCTTCACCCCGGAGGGAAGCCCTGTGCCCTCGGGCAGTCACTCCCAGCTCCTTCCCACCGCTAAACTGGCTCTCCCAAGAGTGAGGCGTCTTGCCAGGGCAGGGCTCTGGCAGGAGCCCGGGCACTGAGGCCATGGGCACAGTTGTCCTGGTCCTCGAGACGGCCTTCAGGCTGAGAAGTTAATTCATCTAAACCAGGAGTCACCAGACCACTCACGGGATTGTGAATGTGTTCCAGTCAAGTCAAGTGACTCATTTGGTTTGGGGCCTGACCTGGGTTATCTTGACCCAATCGGGTGCTGATCACCAGGTTCACAGGGACAGGAAGCTCTACGGGCCTCCACAGGGCAAAAGGGCATGACCATGGCCCTCGGGTGCTCTTATCTCAGAGCCCCGCTGTCCCTGGCCAGAACTTCCTGTGGGACACTTTTCTTTTTCCAGGATGGGCTTTGCCTGTAGATATGAATCCACGCTCCCGAGAATACCTCTTCCAGAAGCACCAAAGGCCCACAGTGGCTCTAGAAAGTCTCAGCAGCAAGGCCAGAGCCCCTCGGAAGCAAGGCCGCGTGAGGGAGAGAGAACATCTTGATTGACACTCGCCTGGGCCAGGGGACAGTGCTGCTGCGTCTTCTCCTGAGCCCAGCACTGTGGTGGCTCTTGGGGTGACTCCCCCTCACACTTCCAGCACCCACGCTGGTCCATTCTACCTGGACTCTGACCTGCTCTTTCTGGACACCTTGCCCGAGCACATCGTCACTGACCTGGATTCTTGGGGCAGGGACCCACCTCATGCTCCGACATGCTGGCGGAGCACTGGACGCCCGTGTCCACTGGGTTCCGCTCCACGAACTGCGTGGCCAGCTCCAGGTTGGGGGGGATGTCGATGTTCAGCTCGGCCTGGCGGTCTGAGAAGTTGCACTGCCTGCCAAACTCGCTGCGCTTCTTCACGTACACGTAGACAATCTCCATGGTGACGGGGGCTGCGGGGAGTGGGGGAGAAGGGAAGGGGTGAGGGGCCACCTGGCCACCCCTCTGCCTGGGTCCCACGGGGCTGCTTCAGGTTCCCATCTGGCTCATGGGTGAAGGTGTCCAGAGCTGCACTGGGTTGCTGTTGCTGCACTGGGGATTGAACCCCAGGGTCCCACCCAAGACAGGCAAACCGTCTATCACCGAGCCACGTCCCCAGCCCTTAATGTTTTGAGAGAATCTCACTAAGCTGCCCAGGCTGCCCCCAAATTTAAGATTCTCCTGCCTCAGCCTCCCCACTACCCATAGGTGTGGCCACGGCCCCTGGCTTGCATCTGAGGGCTCAGCATATGATAAGCATAAATTATCTTGTTCAGTTCTTGCAAATACCCTCTGAGGTGGGCAAGAAAATCACCATTTGATTCAAAGGAATTCGATACTCAGAAGTACCCTGAGCCACTGGCCCAGCATCACAGAGCCACTGAGTGGTGGCGCTGGCCTGCCTGACTCCAAAGCTCTGACCACTCACTGACATGGCTTCTCCTGATCAGTATTATTGGGAGGCAGGAAGAAATGTTGATGGTGGTTTGTTGGGTTAAACAGCGCCTGCTGCGCTCTGGATCTGAGCCATATAACACATGAATCAGAGATCCCTGGGCCCCTTCTGGAAGCCTCCACCCAACCGTCCACTTCCCCACCTAATTGTGGAAAAGGCTTATTGACACCAGAGCCCTCCGTTGCCAGGCTCCACCCCCCACACACCCACCGCTCTCTGGGCCCCCCTGGGAATCTCTTCCCTCTGCACCAGGCCAGCCGGACAGAGCTGAGCGGTCACCTGAGAGCACAGAGCCAGATGGCTTCCTGAGCAGGAGGGACCGTCAGCCCTCAGGAGCCCCTCTGATTTGCACTGGCCATAAAGAGTGGGAACTGGAAAGCAGCTGGGCAGGCCCTGACCTCAGGTCCAGGCCTTGCTCTTCACAGCTGCATGACCTTGCCAAACTCGCTGCGCCCAGTAGTCAGGAAGCTGGTGTTCAAATCCTTGATGTAAGGAAGAAGGTAAGGAAGAGTTCTTCACCAGCGCTGACCCGAGGGCTTAAAGATACACCCGCGGCTCCCACAAGCTGCCCTTCTCTCACCCCAAAGAGACCCTGCCCCCTCCTGCCCTCATCACATCCATGGATTCTCTGGGGCTCAGTGCTGGCCATCTGGTAGGCCTGTCTGCAACGTTATGCTGTGGACTTTAGCAGAACTGTTCATTAGGGGGCCACCCCAACCCTCAGGAATTGTGCCTTTGGTGTCACATTCCCAAGAGAGCTTAGATAGCCCCTGGACTGCAAGAGCCCTGGGGGTGCCGGGGCAGGGAGCTGTTGAATGAGTGGCCACAGTGGTTTGGGAAAGGCCCATTGTGCAAATTTGCTGTGGCAGCACTCACAGCCCAAGGCCTTTTGAGACCCAACAAATCAGGCTTTGGCCCCTGAGAGGGTGTTGCTGCCTTTGAATGAAGTAGGGACCTGGTGGGAAAATGGCTGGAGGGCGTATTGCCTCCATAGCCAAACTCAGGAACTAGAGGGATACAGCAGAACTGCTGGAGTAGTGAGCCCTTTACCTAGCATCGCCATCAGGAGAGCAGTCCAAGACTGCTCAACAACACTCAAAATGACTCTTATTTTTTTAAAAATCTAATTATATAGACTTTTCTAGAAAGTACAGTTTTTATTACTGCCAAACTGTATGCTTCATCTTCATTCTAATTATAGTTTTCATTATCTCATCCAATTATGCAACAAACACTTATTAGATCCTACTGTGAGTGATCAGGATGGTGCGGCTCTGGCACGAGGGTAGACATGCAGATGAACTGAAGGAACTCAAAGTTCAGAAATGAACCTTTACAGTTAGGGTTGACTGATCTCTGGCAAAGGTGCCAAGGCAGCACAGTGGAGGTGGGAAGGACTGTCTTTTTGGCAAATGGTTCTGGGACAACTGGACATTCCAAAGCAAAAGAGTGACCACCGCCGGGCACAATGGTGTGTGCCTATAATCCCAGAGACTTGGGAGGCTGAGGCAGGAGGATTGCAAATTACAAGGTAGCCTGGGCAATTTAGTGAAGCCTGTCTCAAAATAAAATAAAAAGGACTGGGGATGTGGCTCAGTGGCAAAGCACCCCTGGGTTCAATCCCCAGGAACAAAGAAAAAAACAAGAGTGACCATAGATCCCTATCTTACCTCAAATTAATTCAAAATGGGCTGCAGGACTGAATGTAACAGCTAAAACCATAAAACTTAGAGAACACAGGGGGGAAAGACTTCATAGAGATGGTATAAAAAGTATGGTCTCTAAAAGAAAAACAAATGATAGATTGGACCTCATTAAAATTTAAAACTTCTGCATTGCAAAGGATAACATCACGAAAACCAAAGAGGGGCTGGGGATGTAGAGTGTTCACCTAACATGTGCACGACCCTGACTTTGATCCCCGTAAAACACACACACACACACACACAAAAGAAAGAAGAGAAAAAAAGAAAGAAAGGAATTTGGATTTTTTTTTTTTTTTTAGTGGTGCTGGGGATTGAACTCAGAAATTTGCAAGCACAAGCCATAGACTTGGAAAAAATATTTCCAAATCATATATCTGATTAAGGACTTGTATACCAGGTCTGGACAACCTCATGTCCACCAAGACTATGAAATAGGCATCATGATTTCCCCTCTACAGGAACAGAGAGTGGTGCTCAGGGACATGTAGGGCCTTGTCCAAGGTCCCAGTTTTTTTTTTTAACCCAGGGGCACTTAACCACTGAGCCATGATCCCAGCCCTTTTCTGTATTTTATTTAGAGACAGGGTCTCACTGAGTTGCTTAGGGCCTCACTAACTTGCTGAGGCTGGCTTTGAACTTGCAATCCTCCGCCTCAGCCTCCCGAGCTGCTGGGATTACAGGAGTGGGCCTCCATACCTGGCCAAGGTCCCAGTTCTTAAACACAGTCACAACCAGGATCAGAGCACATCTGGCTCTGAAGCACTGGTACTTGATCTTGGCTACATATTTAGAAATACCTAGAAGGTTTTATAAAGTTACATGCTGAGGTCAAACTCCTGCCCAACTAAATCAGAATCTCTCAATGGTATTTAAAAAAAAAAATTCTCCGGGTAATTCCAATGTACAACCAACTTTAAAAACCACTGATTTAAAACAAAGACTCTTTTTCATTTTTCAGCCAGAATTTCTCAGTCAGGATGCTCATTAATAAGAGGGAAGTCCCAAGCCCCCTCCTGCAAATGCTGACCTGGCCCCCTGGGGTGGGATCTAGCAATTCCTGTTTTCTACAATCACCCCGGATGAAGGTTATAACTAGACAAGGGCTACTAGAAACCCGTCCAGTGCAGCCTGGCTGCTGTCCCCCGAGATGCATGACCAAGAACTGAGAGATAATCTAGAAGCAGATGCCAGGGGTGGACTTGGCCAGGAGCAGTGGAGGCAGGGTGTGAGAGCAAGAGGGCAAGAGAGTTAACCACCCAGTCTCTTTGTAGCCACATAACTTGCTCCTTAAAGGCAGCCCCTCCCCAGCCACTCCCACCCCAGAACAGTCCAACTTGAATCAACAGCAGAAAGGCTGTTGGAGACTCTCTGGGGTAGAAGGGATGGCCTGGAGGGCAGGGGGCGGGAGAGAGGCCCACTTGCTGCAGGACGCCTGAATGGATTTATTCTACAGGGACCAACAAAGAAGGAGCCTTGGAAAAAGAATGTGAATCCAATTAAATCCTCCCCTCTGCCACCACATGGAGAAGCACCTGTTCTTGCTAGACAGAGCCACTGGGCCCAGGCCATTAGGGGCTGCCTCTCTCTCTTTCCTTGAAAGACAATTGTTGGGAGCCGGCCAGCTCCTAGGGGACACAGGAGGCCTCAGAGGAGGAGGAAACTCCAGGAAGACACAGATGGACTCTTGAGCCCAGATCAGGTTTTTAACAGCTTTGCTCTCCTTCTTGGTGCTTCCCAAAGCCAAGCCCTGAGCGAAAACAGAGGCATTGTCTTGTGTCTGGAAGGAGACAGAGGGGACATTTAAAGGCTGGCCCGGTGACAGTGACGGACAGCTCATTCAAGGACTCAGCAGCACAGGCTCTTTTCTTACCAGCAAGCAGGGCATAAGATGAATAGCAGGGCCAGCCCAGGGGGTCTCCGCAGTCCCCCTCCCTTGGGAGACAAGTGCTACAGGGGGCTTCCCCAAGTAGGGCTGAGCAGGGCTGTCTCCAAGAGGGCCCAGAAGGGGCAGGAGCAGTGTTGCTGCCGCCTGGACGTTGGGGGGGGGGATTGCTCTCCCCTCCCCCGTGGGAACTAAGAGACGCAGAAGCTTGCAGGACACCTCTACAGGGCCACCCAGACACAGGACGCACAGATCTGGATGCTTGGGTTGGACCAGAAGTGCAAGTCCCCATGTCCTGGAGGAAGGAGTCGGACTGGAACCTTCACAGACCATGCAAACAAAACTCTCCTGAGCAGGGAGAATGAGCAAAGCCATTCCTGAAGAGAACCTGCCGTGGCTTAAGAGAAAGCGCTGCCCAAGCTGGACGGGGACCAAGAAGTGGGAAGGAGGGGTGGCGGGTGCAATAAGGACATGAAAACATCTTCCTCTTCCTGTTCCCTGAGACTGCGGGTCCCTGCATGGCAGAGGGATGCAGGAGGGGGGGCTTCTCATGTCCTTGTGCAACTTCTGTAGTTCTGGGACCTAAGGGTTTTGCTGGAC